TTGCGACCATTCTTACAGCCAGCACATGGACAAGGCATAAAACCATCCGCCCGCTTGTTTGCCTCAGCCGCAAGCAGAAAAGTATGCACGCCCTCAACGAACTGGGGAGAGTATCGGTCATCGTACATCCATTGCCGGCTCATCTTCATTACACAACACCGAATAGACCAAATTAATACAAGTTCATATATAAAGTTCAACAACACTTAAATGCAACAAACAAATAACTCTCTAGCTAAAGCATTTAAATGCAACAACAAATGCGATCAAGATCGCAACTAAGGTAACAATTGATCCAACAGCATAATGATACCAAGCCTCACTATCGATGGCATATTTTCTAATCTTTCTAATCTTCAAGCGTATTTTCTCCTTCTTGATCTTGTGATCATCGACGACGTCGGCAACATGCAACTCCAATTCCATCTTCTCCCCCTCAATTCTTTTCAATTTTTCTTTCAAGTACTCGTTTTCTCTTTCAACTAAATTTAACCTCTCGACAATAGGGTCGGTTGGAATTTCCGGTTCACATACCTCCTAGATAAAAATATCTATGTCAACTTGATGGGCATAATTTGTCATAAACACGAAATGCAACAAATAGTTTTAAAAGAGAATATACCACATCCGAATCATAACAAGGACGAGGGCCGACGGGGACGGATATCAAAACCATGGCACTATGTATAACAAACAACGTACGGGTAAGATAATTATTATACGAGTAACTATATATCCAAATCACACAAACATCAATTTTTTATATAAAATTTCATGAACAAGAGGCTCACCACAAGGTGGTGCCGCGACGGGACGGTGCGGGCGATCGATGGTGGTTACGACGGAGATTTAGAAGGCACTAAGTAAACCACACCTACATATGCAAACTAAGTGTTATTTTAACCTCAGATTGCATATAAATCAAATACTAGCACATATATATATTTCCTCCCAAATTACTAAACTCACAAATTAATAACTGCATAAAGCATTGCAAGAGCTAATATAGCAATGAGAGATGAAAGGACAAAGTTGCTAACCTTTGTGATCATTTGAATGGATGGGGGCCTTCAAATCTTGACAAATTTTGGGCAAAATGTGTGATGAGCTCGAGAGGAAGAGGGGAAGAACAGAGAGGAGAGGGGAAAGGGGAAGAACAGAGCGAGCTCGGGTGGACGAAGGGTTTATGTAGGACGACCTTTAGTACCGGTTCGTGCCAAGAACCGGTACTAAAGGTGCTGGAGGGGGCCCAGACTGACAACATCCTGCCACCACTATCATTAGTACCGGTTCGTGGCACGAACCGGTGCTAAAGGTTAGCCACGAACCGGTACTAATGAGAGCGGCCCTGCTAGCCGTTGAAACCGACACTAATGTATACATTTGTGCCGACTCAAATACAAACGGGCACTAATGTGCTTCACGTTTGACCCTTTTTCTACTAGTGTAGAGGCTCACTAGGGACATATTGTGGTCTATGTATTCACACGTGTATCATGATTTCCAGATAATACAATTATAGCATGAATAAAAGACAATTATCATGAACAAGGAAATATAATAATAATCCTTTTATTATTACCTCTAGGGCATATTTCCAACAATGATACCACAAGGTTGCCAGGGAGCCAACGATTTGCTGCGTGTGAAAGAGGCGACTCGAGCCATCCAAGAAAAACTGCTGTAATAAACGACTCCTCGTCTGAGGAGGATTCAGGTTGCATTGTGTTATTGTTTTGTGCGTTAGCACTACCTTCTGAACTATGTATCCACAACACATTTCGTATCTTAGATTTTGTTTGTTGCCGTGGTTTTAACTAACTGTTGAGTTACTTCTGTACAGGAGAAGACACTGACGATGCTGAGGAACATTCTGAACATGAACCATCTTTTGAGCTAGATGATGTACGTCAGACACCTTGTGCAGGGCTCGACTATGTCTTGTCTCGGCGTGGTCATCTGTCTAGAGCTCAGGGGGAGAGAGTAACTAGGCTTCTCCAGGATGTTCAAGCTGAGACTCCCGTGTTCGTGGCCATCATGAAAATGAGCACACAGAATCGCACTATTGTAAGTTTTGATCTGCCTTTTTTTCTTCAAGCTTGTAGTCTTGAAATGCTGAACTTGTAATGTTTGATCCACCACCGATACCGCGCCTCCGTCTGGAAAATCAGGTGATCCCCAAGCTGTTTGCAGAGGAGCACTTCCCGCGTGAGAGCCAGAACCTGACGCTACAGCGCCCGGGCAAGAGCAAGAAGTGGCACCCATGGTTTTCCATCAGGAAGGATCGATGTGGGCACGTCCTCAACGGGTCTCGCTGGGTAAGCTTCCTCCGTGACAATGGTGTGCAGGAGGGAGATCTCTGCGTCTTCCAACCAGTGCAGGGCACTGGCACCAGGAGCAAATTCACAGTCCATCTGCTTCACGAGTCCTCGGGTGCAAGTAGAAGTACTGGTCCGAAGAAAAGAGTAGGATGCACTACTACTCATGGTAACACAAGGGTGAACTCGGCTGCCCCTGAAAGAGCGACAACTGCTCATGGTCATGGTGCAACAACAATGGCAAAGGCGGCGCCACCCACCCCGAAAACCCTCCGTGTCAACAAACAGCAAGATGATGGTAGCACACCCAGATGCCCTGCCCTTACTAGTAGACTAGAGCGATTTTGTTCATTTGAAATTCCTCTTCTGTCTAAGTCATGTTGAAATTTTGTTCAGGCTGCAACCATGGTCGTCAGAGTCAGAGAGCACGGCAGCTACCAAAGCTGGAGCCTCCTTACGTGATATCATCCACGGCACGCCTGACTGAGGAGCAGGAGAGGGAGGTGGACCAGACAGCCCGCGCCATCGGGTCTCGGGTCCCCGTCTACGTCTCGGTGATGAACAGGAGCAGCGTCGGCGTAGGCAACGTTATCTACAACGTAGTAAGTCGTAAGTGTTTTCCTAAGCTGTCATTATGATCAGGTGTAATACTAGTACATCTCTGTTGTTGTTCACTTCGTTTGAATGAATGGTTTGGCAGACCATTTCCGGGGCGTATGCTTGTGACGCTTGTGAGGAAGAAGAAGGAGTGGGAGGTCGAGATGTGCGCGCGCGGCTGCGGGCGGACGCTTGCGCGGGGCTGGCGTGATTTTGTCCGCGACAATCGGCTGCGGGTGCAGGACGTGTGCCTGTTCCAGCCCACAGAGAAGAACCACGAGAGCCTTACCATGACGGTCCACATCATCCGTCACAGCGGCAAGCGGCAGCAGTAGTTTCTCTTCTCTTTCAGCAGACAGCACACGAGGTCGATTTGCCGGTGGTAGCTCTTCTGCTTGTATTGTGTGTGCTTTTGGTGGTCTTGTGCTAGTCTGAAAACTTTGTTGCGGTAGTGGCTACTATCCAGAACCTGTGTTTATGAATTATGATGGCTAACCAGCTGTCTGCTGTGCAATTTATCAAGAGTCCGTCTAGCAACTCAGAGAGTTTAGCTAATGCTAGGCTGGGCTTGCGGACCATTGCGAGTAGTAACCGAGGTCGATGCAAAGGTACATGGACCTGCTGGGCATAACACCAGCGCACAAGCTATAGAAGTCGATGGATGCTCTAGTAGTACTTCATCTCCGGCCTTAGCAGATTATCATCGAACTCGTGTAACATGACAGGTTTAGTTGACGCGATCTTGTAATATTAGTTGTAAATATCAGTATGTCGTCCATGCCATAGTTTCTGGAAGATCATAGTAGCTCGCAAGTATGTTTGTCTTTCCTACATCAGCATCAGCATAATAGCAAGGCTGTGGGATTTTATTGTTTGAAACTTTGGATATAAGTTAGTTAAGTGCAATACAAACATGCATGAGTTTTCTGGGCGTTTTTGCGTTTGTGCACCATATTAAAAGTTGTTCAACTTACCAGCAAGTGGTTGCTGTTAAGTTGGAGGCTCAGTTGCTTCCCGAGTGTTGGCCTGGGCTCCTTTTCCTCTGCTTACGCCAGTGCGCTATGCAGTACGCACACACTGAGTGACTGGACATAACTGGTGCAGAGGCATCTTGGCAAAGCTAGAGGTGGCATAATAACGTTGCCCTTATTTTTTCAAGACTTTTCATCTCAGTCTAGCCCAGGATATTATTACTTCTGTATCTTAGACTTGCCAGTGCTTCATGATCAGCAGAGAATATCATGGCAGATTTCTCCAGATTCCCTGCCAGCCCAAGGTAACTTCAAGTACTGCCAATACCTGCATGCATATATTGTACTGTCTCTTCATGAAGCTCCTTTCAATACCTTTTCAGGACAGACATGATTACCTTTGGTGTCTTCTTTTGTTTCGGCAAAGATGCTTCATGGTGCACAAAAATGTACTAAAACTACCACTACTTTATAAGGCCGCTTGTGTACATATATGTATCAGCAGCGCTGAGCCTTCTTCTCTGAATCACCATTGCATCCTGGAGCTGCTTTGCCACGGTAAGGTGCCTCCTCCTCTCTCCTACGTCCTACTACCAGCAGGAAAGGAACGAGATGGTTAAGACTTCAGAGCAGCTAGCTGTTCACTTTAATGCTGCGATTTCTCTGGTTTTGGATATGAGTGCATGAACAACATCTTTCCTTGCTTTGATTTGTCCCAGTCTCCCATTTTTGTACTGGGTAGTTCTGCTAGATTCACACCTTTTCTTTCTTCCTTCGATTGCAGCTTTTCTGTGTTATTTGCACTTTCAGTAGAAAGATTGTGTCCATGTTTTTGGTTTTCAAGCTAGGAACTTGCAACAAGAGGGACATATACATACTATCTTTATTACAAACTGCCATAACATGAAAATGGTTTGCACTCTCTAGGAAGGAGATCACTACTCCCTCCAATACATATTGGTTTAGTACAAAGTTGGTACAATGTTGTACTAAACCAACATCAATTAATATGGATGGAGAATTTTGTACTAAACCAGCATCAATTAATATGGATCGGAGGGAGAACTTGCTTTGTTGAATGTGCAACTGACATAAGCTGCATATTTCACTTCATATGGCTGGACTAGCTTCCCAGATGAAGAGATCTTGTGACTGCTGCAAGAGATATGCTGACCATTTGGATGGAAGGATGAAGTGTTTCTGCAGACGCATGACTGCTAATTTCAGACATGGCATGGTAAGTTCGTTATAAGTTAGTTTCTCAAGTATACCAGACAACTTTTTCTTCTTCTTTTTTAGAATGTTTTATATGTAGGATCTGTTGGAATTGGTAGTGGATAGTTGCTTACTGGTTAGAAGAAATTGATCCTAGTGTAGTTGGTGCTAAACAGACACAGAGAAGTGAATAGATTCTGAAGACCATTGCTACTGAACATAAGTATGTACTAGTTTAAACTTATGGGTTCAAGGCCAGCAGTAAATCCTGTAAGGCTGGAAAATTGTAGCAAAAGAAATTGTACGTTATCTGTTCTGATTTCTAAACCAATCTTGTGATGTGTCGTTGTGGTTAATACAGTACATGTTCTTCATTTATCGACCCATTTCCCCAATAATCTATGTATAACACATACTAGTAATTTTTACATTGCATCTACATCGTATTTTCTGTTGCTAAACCCAACTAGGAAATTGCTGGGCTTGCCTACACCAATTAATATGTCTCTTACAGGCTATACCGAACAAGTTCATAGACCATTTCGGTGGAAAGATCTCAAGGACCATCGAACTGGAATCCCATAACGGAAGCATGTACACCGTTGAAGTCTCCAAGCTTATGAACGAAACGGTCCTCCGGCGGCGTGGTTGGGAGGCGTTTGTCAATGCGCATTCCATCGAGGAGAACGACTCGTTGCTGTTTCGCCACATTGAGAAGTCGCTATTCGAGGTCCTGGTGCTCGACTCTGATGACTGTGAGAAAGTGCTTCCCTCTGCTGGCATCAAAGTTGCTTCTTGTAATGTTCAAGAAAGCAGCAGCGTGGATTATATCGATATATCAAGCAGCGTGGGTTATATTGATATATCAAGCAGCTCGGGTGATGATACCACAAGATCTCCGGGAAGCAAACGGTTTGCTACGTGTGAAAGAGGCGACTCAAGCCATCCTAGAAAAACTGCCGTAAACGACTCCTCGTCTGAGGAGGATTCAGGTTACATTGTGTTATTGTTTTGTGCATTAGCACTACTTTCTGAACTATGTGTCCACAACACATTGCGTATCTTAGATTTTGTTTATTGCCGCGGTTTTAACTAACTATTGAGTTCCTTCTGTACAGGAGAAGACAGTGACGCGAAGGCAGAGGAACATTCTGAAGATGAATCGTCTTTTGGGCTAGATGATGTACGTCAGACACCTTGCACAGGGCGCGACTATGTCTTGTCCCTAAATGCTCGTCTGTCTGGAGCTCAGGAGGAGAGAGTAACTAGGCTTCTCCAGGCTGTTCGAGCCAAGACTCCCGTGTTCGTGGCCATCATGAAAATGAACACACGGATTCATACTACTGTAAGTTTTGATCTGGGCTTATTTTTCCTCAAGGTTAAAATCTTGAAATGCTAAACTTGTAGAATTGTACGTATATGTTTGATCCACCACTGATACCGCGCCTCCATCTGGAAAATCAGGTGATCCCCAAGCTTTTTGCAGAGGAGCACTTCCCGCGTGAAAGTCAGAACCTGACGCTGCAGCGGCCAGGCAAGAGCAAGAAGTGGCACCCATGGTTTTACATAAGGAAGAGTCAATGTGGGCACGTCCTCACCGGGTCTCGCTGGGTAGGCTTCCTCCGTGACAATGGCGTGCAGGAGGGAGATCTCTGCGTCTTCCAACCAGTGAAGGGCACTGGCACCAGGAGCAAATTCACAGTCCATCTGCTTCACGAGCCCTTGGGTGCAAATGGAAGTACTGGTCCGAAGAAAAGAGTAGGAAACACAAGGGTGAACTCGGCTGCCCCTGAAAGATCAACCACTGCTCATGGTCATGGTGCAACAACAATGGCAAAGGCGGCGCCACATCCAGACGCCCCGACAACCCTCCGTGTCAACAAGGAGCAAGATGATGGTAGCACATCCAGACGCCCTGCTCTTAGTAGTAGACTAGAGCGATTTGATTCATTTGAAATTCCTCTTCTGTCTAAGCCATGTTGAATTTTGCTCTGGGTGCAACCATGGTCGTCAGCAAGCACGCCAACACCCAAAGCCGGCGCGTCCCTACGTATTGTCATCCACCGCACGCCTGACCGAGGAGCAGGAGAGGGAGGTGGACCGGACAGCCCGTGCCATCGGGTCTTGGGTCCCCGCCTACGTCTCGGTGATGAACAGGAGCAGCGTTGGCGTGGGCAACAGGATCTACAACGTAGTAAGTTGCAAGTGTCTTCCTAAGCTGTCATTATGATCAGGTGTAATACTAGTAGTACTTCTTTGTTGTTGCTCACTTCGTTTGAACGAATGGTTTTTGGCAGAGCATTTCCTGTGCGTATGCTGCCGAGTATCTTCCACCCGGGGAGCGGGTCGCCGTGACGCTCGTGAGGAGGAAGAAGGCGTGGGAGGTCGAGATGCGCGCGCGCGGCGGCGGGCGAGCGCTGGCGCATGGCTGGCGTGGTTTCGCCCGCGACAACCGGCTGCGGGTGCAGGACGTGTGCCTGTTCCAGCCCATGGAGAAGAACCACGAGAGCCTTACCATGACGGTCCACATCGTCCGTCGCAGCGGCAAGCGGAAGCAGTAGTCTCTCTTCTGTTTTAGCGCACCTTGTCGATTTGCCGCTGGCAGTAGCTCTTCTGCTTGTATTGTGTGAGCTTTTGGTGCTAGTGCTGGTCTGAAAACTTTGTTGGTGTAGTACTATGGCCAGTGGCTACTCTCCAGAACCTGTGTTTATGATGGCTAACCAGCTGTGTGCTATGCAATTTATCAAAAATGTTAGGCTGGGCTTGTCACTTGTGGACCATTGCGAGTAGTAACTGCGGTCAATGCAGATGTAAAAATGGGCTTAGGGCGTTTGTGCATTTCCAAAAATTCTCAACAAAATGCATGTGCTTGCACAGACGCGTCAAGTTGAAAAAATTGCGGACTCCTAAGTGTTTTCACCACCCATATATTAGGCAGATATCATTTGTGCATTTACAGCGACTCAACAACATAATTCAGACACAATACAACAGTCATCTTCCTTTTGATACAACGAGGGAGCGAAAGAATGGCAACCTTCACTTAAATGTCTCCAAAACTGGACTGCGGCGTCAAACGGTCGTCTCAAAAACTGATAAGTGGGGGCACAACAAGAGTCAATCTATAGTTCTGTACTTTTTACAGCCTTTCAGCCCTCAGAAGCCTTTCCCTGGCCTTCTGCTCTTCCATTTCGTTCATCCAATCCGAAATCTGGTAGACGCCTTTCCAAATAACTAGTCCCAGCACCACCAATCCAGCTAACGCAGTTATCACCACGAGATACCACTTGATTCGCTGCAAAATTGCGAGTGTATTGTAAGGAGAAGATACTTAGCAAACCTAATAATCTGAGCATCACATCTGTATATTTTACACACCTGCCACATTGAAACCTGAACAGGTTCCTGTGCTCCGCGGTCACGCTTCTTCCTACGTTTGGGCACGTTTGCGACTTCTGCAGCAGGGTTCTACATGGAAATTTCAGGATATGAGCACTCATTCAATAATTAACCACAGAATCTAACTGTTTGGTGGTAAAGCCTCAGCAGATAAAAACAATGTGTTCCATACTACGATGGTAGGATCTGGTACCTTATTCTCCTGAACTTTCCGTTGATGTAACTCTGCAGCTGGAACATTGACCTTTTTCACACAATCTCCACCACATGCAATTAGGCCAACTCCAAACTGGCCTTTTGCTACTTCTTTTGGGTCACGACCAGACCTTCGGTACTCCTTGAGAACATCTTGACATACCCACTCTTTTTTCAGGGTGTTGCATGCACAACGTACATTAACCTTCAAATATATCAAACATGCAGAGGAATAAATACAGATAAGAAGGTATAGCTTGAAATTGCAGGATTAAAACTTGCTTTAACCTTTCAACGGAGCAACATATCCAAAAACTTCTCGACTAAAGTTTCATCAGCTAAACAGATCGAGCACCTGATAACTTGCTGGTTACAGATAAATATGCCGATGCCATACCTTTTTCATGCACTGATCCACTGACGGGCATTGACCAGGGTGACATATTTCTGAGCACAGATGGGGGCAATTTGGTAGTTTCCTGCACGATGCCATAAAATAATAGATCCAAGAACTCAGTACTATGAAGTTATAAATTCAATTAAAGAAATTTGAGTAACATTTGTGAACGTGTTTTTGTGCGAGCATTCATAACAGAAACAATTAGAAACCGGGAATTGGTGACTGACCTATGACACGGGCCACCGCAGGACCTCACTTTCAGCTGTTGCTTGGCATTTAAGTTGTTATAGTACATACACTCGAAAGCATGTGTCATAGCACCACAATGACATGATCTTTTAACAAGGGCTTTGCAAGGTAGACAATCGCTTAGATGACACCGCAAAGGGCAAGGATGTGAACAAGGAGGATCCCTGGCCTGGCAGGAGCATTAAGATTAAACATCATGCACCAAGCTTAAAACTTAAAAGAAAAATGCGGAGCTCAACTAGCCATTTCACATTAAAGTTTATAAACAAAACAACCAAACTGAAGGTATTGCAAAGCGAAATAAAAAAAGAACTGACCCTTTGACAAGGAAGATTGCATCTTTCGCAAGGCTCGGCAAGAGTGTTCTTTCTACTGAGAGATAATATGGTATCAGCCTTACGTTGATCCGATGGAATCTCTAACACATGGCAATCCTTTGTGCAGTAATGGTTACCACAGTGGAGAAGGTTTCCACATAAATTCTGACAGGGAAATTGCCTGCTTTTGGAGCAAGGTATCTGCAAAAACACGAAAAAAAGAAATTGTATGTTATAATCAGGTGTAAAAGCAAGCACATGTGAGGCATGCTCAAATGTGCAAGAGAGGGAGAGAAGGGGGGAGGTAAATTGACCAAAAGATGGCCATGTTATTCAAAACTTACTGCACGTTCTTGGCCTAGATGCTCTCCAAAACATGGCACCAAGACTACTTCTTGGCATGGTGGGCATGGAGTTCCAGGCGTACATTCTATATGCTTTTCCATTTTCTTTTTCATTGGTTTAACTGTGAACTCGGGGTTCGGTGGAGGAATAGAGCCATGACACCTGGGTAGTGTTAAGATTGTTAGACATCAGAGGACACTGTAGTTCGTGGAATACTGCTGCTATGACACACTCAGCATATAAATTAAACACTGAACCTTTCTTTACACTTGTGGCCACAAGAAAGTTGTTCCCCGCAGATCAGTTTGCAAGGTGGACAGGCTCCATAGTGGCATTTATGGGGCTAAAGGAAGGAGATCAAAATGTCAAGTAAATTCTGAGGACCAATTTATAATAGCCGAAGTAATTAAATACTCAGGAATGACATGCAACTAAATTCACAAGAACAAACTTTGAACAACAACAATGTGACAAATACCCTTGCAGTGGCAATCAGCAATAAAAGTTATCAAGAGATTATCATTAATGAGCAATGGCAATGTTACAGAAAAGAGGCGGAACAGTTTACCCGGCATTCAAGCTTGTGTCTGCAAAGACGATCTATATTGCATCTTTTTGAGCATTTGGGAGGTTTTTGATTCTTCTCGGTCCCACAAGGAACCTACAAGAGAATTATGCATTCAAATCTACGAAGGAAACTTAGCAACTAGTGGGGCAGGAGACACATGATAAGGAACTTGTACTGTGTAATGAAACTGGAGAAAGAATTAACATTTAGGGAAGTGCACGAGATCGTGTAAAAATGATTTGATTGCAATGCAGCTGTTGCGTGATAATTATGTGTCCTAATCATCTAACGAAGTAGATAGGATCAAATATAACTCATACAACAAAATGAACAACAGAATTAAGAGTCTACCAATTTCAACCTCAAAGTATGTTTTCCCACAGAAACATGAGATGGTCTTCATCAAAGGACAAGGTGAACAAGCGCCTCTGCAAACAAAAGGAACAAAATGTTACTAGAAAAGTAGGGTTTCAGTTCATACAAATGAATTAAGATCACAGCTTCAAAACTACAGACACAGGTTTTCCATCCAAAAATGAAATGGGACTATTCCAGATCAAAACAACACGACATATTTTGATTTTTGAGTTCCTGACATTTGTTGTGTGGCACTTCTGGTATTTTAACATGGTCTTGCAGTTCAAAATGAGAGCACATACATGTATGCCTGTAGCAATGCAAGTAGAACTAAACAATAGCAAGTGACAAGCCAAAGATGCACAGTTGATTACGGCAATACCTGTGGCATGGAGAGAGACACTTATGGTTTCCACATCTGAGCCTCCTATCACAAGTCTACAAGCATTGATCTTTTTAGTGCTTGAAACTTGAAATGAGCCAAAATCATGAAAAGCGAAAAAAAAATGTACCTCTGCGCAGGGTGGGCAATCCCCAACACAACAACGTCGCTTACAAGCGTGGCGTCCACAGGCACGTAAACGCTGACATTTTCTTTCGCAGGTCAAGTCTTGGTGGCAAGGCAGCTGATACAATGCATCACAAGAATTGGGGAATTTAGCCATTTGCTGTCTAATAAGCAATATCGTAGAAGTATACCTAACAAGCTGTAGCATTACTAGTGGACCAGATTAAGGAGAAAGAAAAATAACCAATTGCTATTTATTGTTACTCTGTTAGGTAGTATGCATTGCAAGGGGTAACATTGGACTCAAAAATCAATTTGAATCACATGAGCATTCAGGCATTCTATGTTTGTCCACTAACTACTAAGAACTGTCTAAAAGTAAATTTAAACAACTGGTCTTTGCATGCAGCAATTGCTTGCAGATACCATCCTGCCAATCAGGTGCAACTAGTTTAGTGTTGTTAACTGCCTGCAAGTGCTTGAATATCTGTTAAGCTTACTCCTTGCAAGTTTAAAGATTATGATCACAAACATGTTATGTAGATATGTACCTCCTTCTTCAGACCACCACAGCGGCAGGACTTTTTTATCACAAGCCGGCAGGTCACGTCACGCGGGCCACGATGGCACCGCTCGGGGCACTTGTGCCGTCCGCACCCAAGCACCTTCTCACAAGTCGATCCACATGTCGCGGCCTCCACATCACACTCCAACCTTGGATAATCCTTCTTGCCACAAGGGCAAGTCCGCTGCCCACGAAGCGGACATTCCCCACACTTCCCACCATGGCATCCCCTCTCACACCGATGCTTCCCACACTCCAGCATCCCACTACACTCCCTCTTACACTGGAAAACTCTTTCAGAGCACAGCCTCTCCACCATTGTCTCTCCACACTCACATTTGTGATTCCCCCGCACAGCACACGGTGGGCATGGCCCATCATGGCAATCCACCGGACAACGGTGGAGTTCACAGCTAAGACGTTTATTGCATTTACCCTTACAAGAATAGCGCTGATGTGCACAGCGCCGGGGCTCACGGTGTGCCCCGCAGAAGCACCGAGCGTTAGGAACAACAGCTGGGCAGGGAGGACATGGTCCAGGGTGGCAAAGCAGGAGGCAGGTGTGCTCGCAGCCGGAGTCGGGGTTTGAATTGAGGCGGCGGCCACAGACGTCGCCACAGGAGTGGGGAAGGATCCAGGGGTCCGCGGGAGGGTCTTC